GGACGTCTGAAAGCCTCTTTCATCGTCGACTTTATAGTCGTCTGATAGTTTCCCTGTTTTTGCTTGCTGTTAAGCCATCGAGACCCTGATTTCTTAGCCATTATCATCTGCTCATGCTCTTACAATGAAAGACATGCATGGGGAGATCCTTCAACTGTGGCAAAGATTTGAGAAGAGAGAAGTCGGAAATGTTAGCTTAACATAATGGTTACTTGTTGGATCGAGAGGAAAAAATCAACCTCTTCCACTGAAGAGTTTCTAGATATAAATAACCAGTAACCTGGCTATTTGGCAGTGACTAGCTGAGGAGGGTCAATGATTTTGGGGTGAAGTTCCACTTGTCAGATTTTGACGAATGTCTGAATCTGGATGAATTCATTGAGGGCTGCGGATAGTGGAATAAATTTTTTAGTGCAAAGATATTCCCTAGGGCACAAAAGCTAAATTGAAAACCATCAAACTCGGGAATAATATTTTCTTTTGGTGGGAAAACCTGAAACATTTTTGACAGCAGGAAGGAAGGAGTAAATTTGTCAAATGGTATAAGATGAAAGTTGAAATGTTGCGCAAATATTTTTCGTCGCATTTTAAGCAAGAAATAGAGAGATTCTTCTGTAAAGTAGTGTACATTTGAATATGATCAATTCATGCTGAAATATGAGTTAGTGGACTCATAAGTCATTGGTGAGGAATCTTGAAGGATTGGAGTCATTCATTAGCAATTTTGGTCAGTTGCAGCTTGTTGGTCCATGCTCGATATGCAGACCCTAGTTTTGAAGGTGGAGAAACATTATCATTAAGGGCCCACCACAGCTTACAAATAGGACTCAACCTCAAGATCAGGCAGTAAGGGCCATTATAGCACCCAAGTTGATCCCTCGCGAGGAGAAATCTACCCAAGGTGAAGAAAAGGTGGATGCAATCAATACTCCCAATTCCTTTCCTGTCCAAAAATATTTCAAGCATCACAATTTTAGACAGATTATGTTTAATCCCCTAAACACTTGGGGATATCTTTCAATGAACTAAGGGCAATAGAAAAAATGGGTAGTGGTAGAAGAAGATGAAGACACAAATGAGGAGTAATAGTTTCCACTACAAAAGTTTGCATACTCGTTGCATCGTGAATGGAAATGTGCAATCTTATATAAGACACATGTAGTTATAAGAACGCAGTTCCTACCAAATGGTAAACAAGTGTCTTTCCATACAAAAAGCACACCCAACTTTATTCATTGTCTTTATTCAGGAAATTGAATAAAACCGTAATTGATTGGAGATGCCAAATGGAGTTTTGTATTAGAGGCAAGTTCTTGAACATGTGGTGATATGATAATTATAGTTGTTTGCCAAATTCTATTAGGTCCTCCTAAGTAGTACAATCGTTACACATATTATGATGGTTACAAGGACACATATTTCTTCACCAAGGTTGGCAAGCTTATCACTCTTATCTTGGAATGAGCTCGAGGTAATGGATATTGATACGTCTTAGACTATAGTTCCATAAGTTACCTTTCTACAAGCCTTGTGAAAGGCGCCATTATGATTAGCATTTTTGGTCATAGAAGCTAGTGAGTTCGAGGAGCCGATGCTAGACATATGGTAGCCCCTATTGATAGAGCTTCTGGTTGGCCTGACTGATAACTTACTCTTTGGGCTGACACCACTAAAGGAGAAATAGCATGCCAAAGATTTCATTCTAGGATATGTTCTTTCAAGTTGACCCACCCATGGGATGCGATCAACTGGGTATCCGAAGTGGTAGATGCATGCTACAACCTTGATGACTATAGACTTTTCCATTACAGTACTCGACTATGTGTAGTTTTGGTTCTAATTGTGCCAAAGATCTATGACTATTTATTCTACAAAAGTAGACCTTTGAATTATTCATTTGTTTTAAAGTTGCTATAGGTGGTTGTGAGCAAAGATTTTGTAGTATGGTTGCCCAAGACATAACAAGGCAATAATTTTGCTATGCTGATAGTAGATCGATTTTAGAAGCTTCCAGAGATAAAGGTGAAGCTTCTCATGTCCGAGGAGTATGATGTGGGTGCGTTCTCTCATGATCACATGATGGTGGGATTGGATTAGGTCTGGCTCCATCTCGTGAAATTCGTGAAGACATGATTTCTCTCAGGCATTTACTTTCTGCCCCGTGCTAGACTCTTTTGCTATTATTGTAGTATTATTATAGTTTGAATTAGGGTTTTAATTTGTGCCTTAGCGTAAATATGTTGTTTCGAACCCGTTTTGTATACATTTGCGTTGGCTTATGTATTAGAGACTATCTTCATTCTCTATTTTAGAGTTTTGTATCATTTGATTTCTTTAAGGTGTATATCTGTCATGTGTTGATCTCTCCTAGACATTCAAAGGCCTCCTTCGTCGTCGACTTTTTGGCAAACCAATAGTTTTCTTATTCGAGCTTGTTATCCAGCTCTTGAGACCCAACATTATCTTCCCATTCTCTTTTCTCATTCTACAACTTACCTAACTTTTCTTGCGTTATCCCACATCATTTAACAACCCCTTGATTTCTGTAAAGGCAATTATTGTGAACTTAGGATAATATATGTTAAAAAAAAAAATACAAAATAAAATTATTAGATATTGAACTTTCAAATTAAGTGAGCATTAGTCCTTGAAACAAAGTTAGAGAACATGCTTTATTCATTTCAGATGATAGTTTAATTGTGATCAAACTTTATCTTTCAAAAATATGAAAAGGT